TTGAAACTCCTTTTTATATTTTTTTCTAAAATACACAAAGTAAAGTAAGTAAAGTAAAGTAAACCAAACAAAAATTTCTGACAAAATAAAAAACATGGCACCATCGTGCCGTTAATACACGTTTTTCCTCTTCACTTTTGTTCCTCTATCTTACTCATAGATGACACTTTTATCATAAAACTGTCAAAGGGAAGATAACTGCTTTAGTTACAATTACTCCATATTTACAATAAACTCGTGTCACCTTGCTAATATCTAAGGAATATTACGGAGGCCCAAGTAATATTATCCGGCTTTAAATTATATAATCGAGGGGTAGGTTTATTTAGGGAATGTTTTTTTATAGAATAAGGGTTACAAACGATCACAAAGTCCATCTGATGATAAGTGGATGCAGTGGCCCAGAGACATCTACATATCTATCCGCGATTAATAAGCAAAATGCAGATACGTTGTCGCCCTAGTCATTCCATCTAGTCCTCAGGACAAAGATGAAATGCTTCGTTACCACTTAGAGTTATAAAAATAAGCATTAAGCTGCTATTTCACACTGTTATTTTCTGAGAGTGTGGTTCTTCCCCGATCGAGGCGACCCATTCGAATCACAATCATAATATAACTGTAGCATGGCTCTACCTCGTATAAAATATATGAAAGTTAGTCAGTTAGTTGCTTTAAAAGATCTTCTTATTCTATCACTGTTTTATTATTACTGACTGTAGTATTAGGTCGGGGAAAAAGTTTCGTCTTCCTTCTTCGTATTTATATACAAATTTAAGGCATTTTTGTTGTAGAAATCTTGGGATTTTTGATCAAAAAAATGCGACTAGTAGTTTTGGCGGTCCTCTCTTGATGTTAACCTAACACTACTCAAAGAATTCTGAAGAAACCAAAACAGGAAAAAATCTGAGGGTAAAAGATCAGGACTATATGGTAGATGCGTTAACACTTCCCAATCAAGGTCTCTCAAGTTTTGTTGAGGGTTCAAAGACGTGTGTGGTCTGGTGTTATTATGATGAAAGACCACTCTTATTCTGTTGATCAATTCCGGCCTTTTTTTCTCAATTTCTTGCTTGACTTTCATTAGTTGTTGGCAGAACAGACCCGAGTTGATAGTTTTGCCCGGCGGTAAAAGCTCATAATTAACTATGCCCTTCAAATCCCACCATACACACAGAATCACCTTTTTGGGTGTTAATCAGGGTTTCGTTACAGTCTGTGGAGCTTGACTACCTTTTGACCGTGATCTTTTTCACACGTTCTTGTCGTAGGTGTTCACTTTTCATTACCAGTGATCAATCTTTTCAAAAATCGTTCGGTTTCATTACGTTTCAATAGAGAATCGCAAATGAGTTTCTTTCAGTGAGCTTGTGTGATACCCAAATATCGATCTATCTTGAATAGCCAGACTCTTTCAAATGGGTCAATTTTGTAGTCAATCCTCAATTCCTCGGCTATGTCGTAACTACTAATATGCCGATCTTATCCAGATGAGGTCGCTCAAAGCGTGCTGCATTTTTACATCAAATTTCCCGAACTGAAAACACCCAACTTAATGCTACTCTTACTGACATTGCATTAGGTCCATAAACGTCATAAATTGTTTTTGGCTTGAGTCGCATTTTTCCCTTATTTGTAATAAATCGTCAGAATGTATCGAATTCCTTCGTTAGATTCACTCATTTTGGCGAATTTTAAATAGCGGTAAAGTGTTATTAAATTTTATTTCTCTTTTTCTTAATGTCCTATATGTATGTATTGATATTAAAACCAGCCAGATACAAACAGTAAAACCAAAGAGACTTTTCTTCAATTTTATACAAACAAAATAAGAAGGAACTTTTTCCCGGACCTATTATTATATTCTTGGTATATTAAAGGGATATAGCCCGCACATAATCCATGAACACACACCCATATTTTAGCGTTAATTGGTGCTGCGTAATTTAAGTGTAGTCTAAGTATACATATATCTGCCACATACCAGTTTATGTCTACAATGTCATCCACATGGCGGATACATACATACATAGGTTGTGGTTTAGAGGGAGGAGTGATCTCGGATTAATATAATAATTTATGTAATAATACGTTTTTAAATTTTTGAGTAAAATTTATTTAGACGCCAATTGAGGCTAACTCAGACCTTTTTTCAACCGACTTCAAAAAAGGAAGAGGTTCTCAATTCCACTGCTTTTTTATGTGTGTTACCTCAGAACTTTTTTCTAGGTGAACCAATTTCGATAATTATTTTTTGATTTGAAAGCTGGTGCTTCTTATGCGGTTCTATTAAAATTTGATTGATCAAGATCTGACCAGTAGTTTTTGAGTTATCCTTAATAATGCGTATCCAATTGACTTCGACTACATTGATGATATTCTCATTTTATTTATATTGAAGTCGGTTGTACAAAAATTTTTATTTTACTACTTGTTTAACTAAAGTGACAAACGAACTTAGAGTTGACCTGATGGTAAGTGGCTTTTGCAGTCCACAGTAACCTGTAGCCAGTTTCAAACAAGAAAGTCTGCCGATGCGTTGTCACCACTATTCTTAAATAACTTACATATTTTTCAGACGAAAGTACGAGTAACGTTCAGGAAAATCTATTGTTAGCTTACGCAGTTTCCGTTTTTGTGAAGGCATTACTCCTGGAGTATGTGGGTATTATTTACCTTACGAACATGTATATACAATATACTACAATTTTCAGAAATTATACATGATACATATGTTATATTTATTTTTAGACTATTTTATATAATACTAGCTGTGCCCGCGGCGTAGCTCGCGTACACAGGTTTTACATAAAGAATTTGTCGTTTAGGTAAGAGAATATTAAACGATTTATTTCATTACTGTATCAATAAGTGGTAACTAAATAAATCATTATCATCAAAGTTCTAAGTCGTTTATGATAGAGCTTCTGTGTAAACGACGTGAGAAGTAGGCTTAGCCGGGGTGTACACAAAAAGGTTACGGGAGCTACTAACGCGGGAAAAAGCAACATAGAGTTGGCCATGTGCAAAACAGTCAGTACTGAGGTACACTCCTACAACGCGTAAAGTTTGACCTTGCGCTTTATTTACGGTCATCGGATAACACACGCTCACTGTAACTGGGAACTGAACGCGCTTAAAACTGAGAGGAAAGTTACTTCTTAATAGAGGGTTTTTGGGCAGTGCTGCCAGATAAAAAAAAACTCATTCAGCTCTAGGACAACACAAAAAGCGCTAGATTTCATGAAAACAGCGCTTTAAAAAAGCCCTAGATTTCGCGCTAAATTGACTACAAACAAAGTTTGTGTTTTTTTTTATATAATCATAATAAAGAAAACAACATTAAGTTTTTTTTTCTGGCAATATTTTTTTGATGTATCAATACTTCGCAGGACATCGACTTATAATTATGGCAATTGCTGTCAACAGTAGTTAGTACTGTACGAACAATAAAAATGTCATTAATTGTTTTAAAGTGCAATGTATTTCGCAACTTAGTTTCAGATGTCAGCATCTGATTGCGGTTGCTACACAGTTTCTTTGTGTTATAACTTCTAAGTAACTTTTAACTTAGCTGTGCTCTAAGCAACTGACTGAAACTGAATAAAGCAAAATAAATGCGTTGCCAAAACCATGAACGAAAACTTTAATAAAGGGGATTTCCCCGCTTATAGTCGTCGGTAAAAAAATCAAGTTGATCATTCTAAAGGGGAAGCCAGGAGATCCATAGCACAGGGTATCCTAGTTTGGACTCGTCTCCCATGCTCTTTGTTTTGTGGAAAAAATATGTTTGAAAAAGATAAACTGCAATGTACTATTTGTGGGAAAACATAATAAAGGTCAATCACTTTTATTACAAAAATATAAAATGTACAGACATCTGCTATTTACAGTTTTATTATATGTAATATAATACTAATTCCTTTTTCTTTTCCTTTCCTTCTTACTTTTTTTCTTGAACATATATATATATATTTACATACATAAATTGCACATAGACTAACATCGAGATTCGGAACAAGTATTTTTTCTTTATGCTCATTAAATACTCATCGCGGGTAAACGGGCAAAGCCAACTCAAAATTGGCCTTTACGAAGCACTTTTTGAGAGTCAAGTAATGCAACATCGCTGCTACAAGTCTCTACTACGGGAAACATTTTGAGAAAAAGCGGCAAGAAGGTCACAACTAGACAACTTTTCTTCCAATAATTACAATTTAACCTTATAAAACACAATATATATAAATATACAACATAACACGCACGTCTAAGAAAGCTCAACAACGTGTCGCGCATTCTCATCTTTAAAAGTATCAATAATTTTCGTGTTGGTTCTTCTCTGAGAAACAGACCAGCGTTGATTTGATGTTCAAAAGAGTCTTTAATAAGTCAAAATTATTATTTTTCAACTTTCACTCTAAATAATCATATATTTAAAGTAGTTCCCCAGCGCCAGAGCAATCTATTGAGTAATCTAAGGCGAGTAGTTCTCAAGTCAAAGTTCAAAGATTTGTTCATACTCACAGCAACTAATTGTCTTTCCCGTCATCATTCTGTGCAGTTTGCGTTCGGTTTTTTCGAATATATACTATACTACAATACGTCGGTCCTCAGAACCTCGTTCGTTATTTAGCAAGGCGTATCACGTGCAGGAGAGGTTGACATTTGATATTTTACCTAATAATATTAGAGTGAACGAGAGTTCGGAAGCTTTATGCAAGTATATCGTAACGCACATACACATGTGCAAGGTTCACCTACAGTAGCAACATAAATAGCCCGATACTTTGTACCACCGATGCGGCCAGCGCGTTATTTTCTCCGGCTGCTACTGTAGGTGAACTCAGCGCTTGTGTGCGTGCATTTCGATACGCTTGTATAGAGCTTCTTTTTCACTCAGTACATAATTTTATAACTATTATTATTATTATTATTATTATATAAATAATATTTTAACGAATCTGAAATTCCCTCTAACATGTAATTTTTATGTACTTAAGGTGGCGTGGATAAAATCTGACTCCAAAGCTATTCTGGCGATTCATACTAACATGGTGGCGTTGAATCCTCGACTGTCAGTAACATATAACAACCACAACACTTGGAAGCTACATGTCAGTAATGTCCAAGCCAACGATTCTGGCACATATATGTGTCAAGTAAATACAGACCCAATGAAAAGTCAGGTAAGGCTGCAATTTCTTTTAAATATGAGTTTCATAATCTATTATTTATTAATAATTATTTTATAAATATAGCATTTTTGTCGCGTACTTTGGTAGAGGGCTATGCTTAGCAGTGGACTTGTGTAGAGTTGTGATGATAATGATTTCATAAATAATATTTTAAGAATGATACGAACTCGCCGTGTTGTGGCGGCTAAGGGAATCCAATTACAGAGTAAGCGAAACTGAAACAAGAGATGGACATCAGTGTCTTCCTATTAAAAACAAAAAAATAAAAAACTGCTTTTGCCAACCCGTCTGCCAAGTTTTTTTTATAGGATAAGGATGACAAACGAGCACACAGTCCACCTGATGGTAAGTGGTTGCCGTGGCCCATAGACATCTACATTTATCCTCAATTACGAATCAAAATGCAGATGCGTTGTCACCCGTGAGGACTAAGATCGAATGCCTCGTTTCCAGTAAAAAGGGTCTCCGGTTCTCTACACTCACCATACGAAACACAGCAGCATTAACCTGCTGTTTTACGCTGGTATTCTGTGAGAGCATGGCCCTTCCCCAGTCGAGCCGACCCATCCGTGTTACAACTATACCAGAAATATAGCTGCAGGATGGCTCTACCACGTATAAATGATACCACGTATGATAACTATGGCAAATATTCCCCCTATGTGTTAACTCTATGGAGAGGCCTATGTTCAGCAGTGGACTATTGATAGGGTGTAACGGTATCGGTAATAAAATCTTAACATTAATATATATTTAATGTGTAAGTTTACAACGGCGTTAAAATTACTTTACTTATCTTAACATTATTTTTAAACAGATGGGTCACCTATCAGTAGTGATCCCGCCCGATATTGTGGACACAGTGACAGAAGGCAGTTCATCTCGAGAAGGGGGCAGTATACGATTAACATGCAGCGCGACTGGCGTTCCACCACCAACAGTGACGTGGAGGCGAGAAAACAACAGACCAATTGTGTTCAGACAAGATGGCGGTCGGGAGAAAAAAGGTTTGTCAATTTTTAGACATAATCCGTCATTGTTGTGACTGTCTATGTATCTTCTACTTCTTTTTCTTTTTCCACAGCCCATAAACGTCCACTACTGGACATGAGTCTCTCTCGTTTTAGTAAGGATTTGTTTTAATCATCAGGTTTGTCAGGCGGATTGACTATCGTAGTACTAGACGTATCGCAACTCTGACGTCGATTCCCGTCGCTGGGCTCTAGATATTTTATATCTGGTGTAAACGAGTAACCATCTTCTCCACTATCTATCGCAAACCGTTAGATTTTCTGGGGTAAGTTGCCTTTTATGACGATATTGGGACAGAATGAGATGCTAGATACTCTTACGCTTCCACCACAAAGCTATTCTCTTTTAAACCCTTTTATAAATCAAGGTAATACTAGCTATGCTTACTATATAGTGTAGTTTTTAACCTAGATAATAATTCAAACTCGGCTCGCTTCGGCTCGGCCTGAGTTGGATCTATTAATGTGAGGTCATTTAAGTTTAGGATTTTCTCTTCATATAATAAAGCCTATATTACTTATTGATTATTTCTTATTAAATTTCAATAATTTCACAGAGATCAACAATAACTTTTCATCTCGCAATTTAGTTATTCATGGGATTTTATATTTGTATGTATAAAATAGTTTAATTGTTTCACTCTTATATACAGTCAGTTATAATTTATTTGATGGATAACTTTTATCTAATTATTCAAAAATCAGCCTTTAATATAATAATGTACTCTCCTTACTTAAATTTGAAAATTAGTCCAAATTTATTTAGAAATAATGTTTTTAATATCATAATATATTAAAAACATTATTTCTAAATAAATAGCTAAGCTAGATAATTATTTAATATACCGATAATATGGAGTATACAACGTGTGCTTAATACCTTGTCATTAAATTTTCTTCTTAGTTTATCAAACTTGTACTCCTCTCAATATATAAAAATTTTAATCGCAATGTGAAAGCGTTATCTACACGTTAACACATTACGTAAATACGTATTTTCTCAAATCTACGTAAATACATATTCTCTTAAATCTTTCAAAAATAAACAATCTTTATACAATAAATAAGACATTGTAAAGTGGCGTCCAAAGTAACATTTGTCGATACTGCTCTTATTGTTAACCCTTTATAGTAAGTTCCCTTTTCCCCTGGGTGCCGAAAGGCGCCATTTTATTCAAGAGACTTTTTTCCAATTCAATCTACTTTGCATTGTCCCCGGCACTCACATGAAGCATTACACCTAGACCTCGTCGCCTCCCGAATCCCCCCTTGCACTTGCTTCGAAGCATTTACTTCTCTTTCCAATGGATTTTATTTACGCAAGAGAAAGCAAGCTTTAATACATATATTGCTGAAGACAATAAGACGCTGCGAGATATAAAAGCTTTGAGTTACTCTCTCGTTTCTTTAGTTGGATTCCTTTTGAAATGAATCGAATAATTTGTGGATTTTATGCTTACGGCTAGATTCTTATTTGCGAATACTTCAACAAAAGTGTAACATTAAAGGGTAATTCGCTCCAAGTTTATAAACTGATTCAGTTGTTGTCATACTAATAATTTTAAAAAGGTTTTTGAAGGTCAAAAATATTTTCTATAGTCGATAAAAAAAATTCTCCAGAAAAATAACGAATTGTTGCTTCAATAAAACTACTTGTACGGATTTTATCGCGTTTAATTATACTTATTTTCTTAACTCCCGACGTTTAAAATAATTTATGACACATAAAACATTCTTAAATTTCGTTTTCATAGAAAATGTTATTTATACAGTCTCTTAGTAACTTAAATCGACTTCCTTAAACAATTCGGACTCTTTCACATGGTTCCATTCACGGGGCTGCGACTCAAAAAGAACAACCGCACTGAACTGAATTTGTATAATTTTTAATAATGTTGTTATTCGGAAAATATCTATGATAATAATATTATTTCAATAACAAATTCACTATTACCACAGGATCTCATTGTAAACTTTGCCGATTGCCGTCACGTGTCGAGTGTTACAAATTGTATAGGAAACTCGTTATCTTGTCAATACACATAACAATGTTGTTGAAACAATAGCACGCTAACCAAACAATCGACTAATAATTTCGCTCGGCAAACTGCCACATACCAAATGGAAATTTCGCGTTCCACTAGCAGCTTTGCAATTGATTTCCTTAATGTACGTACATGAGGTCTTTAACAATGCCTTTTTGTTAATAATGATTATAATATGTAGCTGAGAAATATTAACATTTTTAACTTTTACTCTTTTTGGACATTTAATGCCCAACTACATGATTAATATCCGTTGAATACCACACTCCTAATATTGAAAAATATGTAGATAATAAAACTTCAAAAATGAGTAAATATCGACATCAAAGCTTAAAAAGAATAAAGTAATTTCAACTAATAACTTCTAAAATCGATGCAAAGACATAAAGTATCGTAGAATTACGTAATTTAGAAGCTATAAGGTATGTAAAATATTTTATTCCTTTTATGTTAAGAATTCGGGTTTAACATTTTTCTTAAGTTCAATTTTTTAGCATATTAGTGAAATTAGGAATATCATAAGTTTTTGTTGTTCTGTTGTGTCTTTGTTCTGTTTTGTTGTTGTTTTGTTTCTATGATATCTGTGCATTTACATAAAAATATACGCGGTGGATATAGAACCTTCTTTTTTTAAACCGGTTAAAAATAGTGCAAGTCCAAGTCTTTAAAAAATGCAATTTTTTATTATAACAAATCCAAGAAACTTTATCGCGTTTTCTCATCATAATCTTTACAACCCTTCACGAGTCCACTGTTGAACATAGGCCTCCCCCAAGGAATGCCACAAAGCACGGTCCTGAGCCACCTGCATCCATCGACATTCTGCATGTCTTACCAGGTCGTCACTCCATCTTGTGCAGTAGGCGAGTGTAGGGCGGCTCCCCGCCCTACACTCGCCTACTGGTGGTACTACGAGGCTACCACTCATTTACTTCCCATCTACCACACCTTTATTTCCCATCTGTTGTCGGTTCTTGGAGCTAATCGCATTTAATTGTGATTTTTTTTAATTTCTAGCTATAATATATAAGTATATCTAACTAAGAAATCTGAAAAAATTGTATTCAATAATCGATTTAATAAAAGAAATGAACGTTTTATTCTTGTTTTTGATAGTTACAGATTCAAATTCGATTAAAGATCTACTGTTTCTGTGTAATATTTTAGTTAATTTTTTTAAATATAAATAATTGATAATAATTATTTCTTACAATGGCATTATAATAAAATTTCATAATAGCTATCAAAGTGTTATCATTTTAAACAATTTCGGCATGGTGAAATTAACCAGAAACGTCTAAAATTAGCTACAAGTTCACGTATATCAAACCTTTACGACTTTTATCACAAAAACCTTCAAAATATGTTCGTACTTTCAGTAATTGTATCGCCTGTTACCACTAAGGCTATCGAGATGAAGTCCCTCATGAGGGACATTTTTAATTAATTCGGTTCTTTTTGTACTGTATGTCACAGAAGTTTTAAATACCTATTTTTTTATGGAATAGAATAGAATAGAATAGAATGATTTTTATTCAATATGGATTATTACATAATGCTTATTGAAAGTCATTATTTTATTTACCACTGGTTCGGAAAATACCTCTGTCCTGGGAAGAACCAGCAAGAAACCCAGCGGGACTTTTTTTTTAAACATAATTTCACTTAACAATAATTTTGATTATACAATTTTAAATGAATTTTCATAGAACCAGCATGGTGGCGATCACCTTATTCCCAGGGGTTATTTTCACTCATGTATTCCTTGATATTATAATAACCCTTTTTGTACAGTTTTTCTTTAATAAAACTTTTAAACTTGTTTATTGACAAACTTTGAACATGTTCTGGGATTCTGTTGTAAAAGCGTATACATTGCCCCATAAATGAATTACTAATTCTGTGGAGTCTTGTAAGTGGCATTACAAGCTTATGTTTGTTCCTAGTGTTTAAGGTATGAACATCCTTATTCTTATTAAAGCTATTTATGTTTTTATGTACATACATTACATTTTCATAAATATATTGCGATGCCAAAGTTAATATGTTTATTTCTTTAAATTTTTCTCTAAGGGACTCTTTACAATTTAGATTATAAATCGCCCGTACGGCTCTCTTTTGCAAAACAAATATAGCTTCAATATCAGTCGCATTACCCCATAGCAAAATTCCATAAGACATTACGCTATGAAAGTAACTAAAATACACTAACCTAGCTGTCTCAACATCTGTGAGACTTCTAATCTTTCTTACAGCATATGCTGCAGAACTAAGTCTGCTTGCTAATTTAGATATATGGGGGCCCCATTGAAGTTTCGCGTCAATAGTAATACCGAGAAAAACAGTGGTATCCACAAGACTCAACTCCTCCCCATTTAAGAGCACATTGGTTTTCGAATGTTTTACATTAGGTATTGTAAATTTAATACATTTTGTCTTATTGCCGTTTAAGAGCAAATTGTTGGCGTTAAACCAATGTACTAGTTTCGATAGAGCATTATTTACATCGTCATATTTAATTGACTGCCGTTTCAGTTTGAAAATTAAAGAGGTATCGTCAGCAAATAATACTATATCGTGATTGTCCCCTACAAGATAAGGTAAGTCATTAATATAGATTAAGAACAGGAATGGGCCAAGAATCGAGCCCTGAGGAACGCCCATTGATACTACCGATCCGGAGGAACATTTACCATTAATGACGACTTTTTGAGTTCTGTTACTTAAATATGAAGTAATAAGTTTAAGCGCCAAATTTTTTACACCGTAATGTTGTAGTTTCCTGATTAATGTATCATGATGAACACAATCGAAAGCCTTGGAAAGGTCACAGAAAATACCTAAGGCATCTTGTGAATTCTCCCAGGCATTAAAAATATATTTCATAAGCTCAACACCGGCGTCAGACGTCGAGCGACCCCTTGTAAAACC